GGACCATAACTAAGCGTACATACGCTCTGACACATCTGCCTGTTACTTTTTCTCTCTAACTCTTTGCTCTGCCTCCTTTTACAGCCACTCCTATCAATCCAAAGGGTGCATTTCCCTTGCTTATTGCCCATTGAACCACCAACCAAAAAAAAAAAAAAAAAAAGCAAAACCCAAAACAACAAAAATAATAGACAGGAAGGTGGTGGTGGTGGTGGTGGGGGCTAAAAAAAAAAAAAAAAAAAAAAGGATTTCGTATGTACATTTATTTAATCCACAACAACAGAGCAAATTACGCCGTATGTTAATTTACATGCATAAAACTACTTTTTTCTTCTTCTTGCAGCTGCTCCAGCCATTTTGTGCTGCACTCTCACTCAGCAGCCACAGCCACAGACAGACTGACGCGGGTATTAATAATTTCCTTCTCTGCTCTTTTCTTCATCTCACTCTTCGTTGCGCATGCCTCACGACTGCTTACGCACCCTTTCTTGTTGCTTCCTTTCCGTGCTGGCGATGATTTGAGGACTTTATCTATCGTTGCGTTTTCTTTCATCTGTTTTTTTTCTTTTCTTCTTCTTCTTCTTCTTTCTTCTCCTTTCGCCTCTGCTTCCCTTTTCACTGCCCTCAGCTCTCCAAATTTTCCCTAACCCTCCCCCGTCTTACGTCACTTTCCCCACGTCATTCATAAAAACTCAACGTCACCGCCACGACGGCAGCCACCGCAACTACTCAACGCCTCCCTCCCTGTCTCTCTTTCTCTCTCTCCGTGTGTGCCTGTGTGTAAAGGAAATAAACGCACAGAAGCACCCACAGCCACGTAAGTACATACATAAACATACACCAACATGCAATATGAACTGCAGGAGCACGTGAGTCTGAAGGAATGAACAGGCAATTAAAAAAAAGAAAAAAGAAAGAAAAAAGAAAGAAAAGTGCGTGAACAACAAAGGGTGTTGCGCGGGTAAAAAAATTGAATCGCAGGATTGAGGAATTTAAAAGAAAACCCACATGCCTTCTGATGGACTCACAAACAAGAAACTGGGGAAAAAAACTGCACTAAAAAACAAAAAAAACAACGACAACAACACCACTCAGCAACAGAAAACTAAGCCTGAAAGATAAACCATTTCCAGGAGAAATGGAGAGGAACCCCCTCCGCACAGGATTATGAGAACAAAACCAAAAATAATAGCATTCTTCCTGCTCTTCGGCTCCGGCTAATATACATGGGCAGCAAGTTAGTCTTCGGTCTCACGTACATCACGAGTACAGATTGGACATCGAAATTGGCTCTCAAACCACCGAGAAGAACAATCCTCGTGCAGAAAGTGGCGGCAGCATGGCAGTTGAGTGGCCACGTTGCCAACGGAAAACGAGTCCAGACACACACAGCAGGTTAAAGACTCCTCCTCATGTGCCTGCAGAATTCGTTGCACATCATGCGGTGAGGGCGCAGACCCTCTTGCCGTTCCCGTTTTTTCTTGACATGAAGACGTTACGCCAAAGTGAATCGGTTGCAGCACCACCTGTAGCTGTTGTAATCTTTCACGCGACACACCGCACTCAACGCGCCCAATGCGCTCCGCCAGTTCCAAAAGCTCTTCATAGGACATATTGTCCACATCGGGGGCAAAAGCGGCTTCAAAAAGATACATCTCGCTAAGGCGTGCTGGTCGATGATTCGAAGAGAAACGCAGCGCAATTCGTGAGCTTTGCGCCTCCCGCGACAGCGTTTGCGGCGGCGGTGGAGTTCCTGGGCGGGGACGAACAGGGGAAAAAGATGGTATGATTGGTCGTGTATACTCGGCCACTCGACGGGAGTGACGCAGCCAACCGCCAAAAGAATGGTTCCCTCCCTCATGACCCTGGCCGGTACGCCGCTGCGTGCCAGTGTTTGTGGCACCGCGGCGGGTCTGACCGCTCGGTCTGTAGGATAGTCGTTCAAATAACTCCCAAAAAGTGGACTCCTGGCGTTGCCGCGTCCGCCGCATGGGTGGGTTGCCCGCTTGGTCAGATGCTTCAGCAGCAGTCTCGCGAGGGTAGAGTCGCGGTTGCTGCTGAGTTTGCTCTTGATATGAGAGTGGCGGCGGTGGCATCCCCGTATTATGATAAGGAGCAGGCAGCCCCCTCCCCGCTGAAAAAGAGCCCGTATGCAATACATTTGAAGCGGGTGTCGTAGTATTCACAGCGTTTCGAAACGCTACAGAGTAGATGGCGTTTTGCGGCATTTGCCGACAGTAGGGAAAGAGAGCGTGCATGTATGGATCTGCATGATATGACGGCGACGGATTTCTTTCGTATGACATTAAGGACGAATACGTCTCGTTGTTTGTTACGCCAATTTTCCCCTCATTTTGTGGTTGGGGCGCGTTATCCAACGAATAGGGAGGGACGAGAAGACCGGGTGGCCGACTGGGACCGTTACGCGTGGGCTCAAACCCTGAAGACAACGGGGAATCAAATTTAACATGATGCTGAAAAGAATTCTCTGACGATGACGTCATCATGTGTCCCGTTGTTGTTGTTGTTGTTGTTGTAGTTACTGCTGGTACTGTTCTCGCGCCA